CTAACCCTAACCCTAACCCTAACCCTAACCCTAACCCTAACCCTAACCCTAACCCTAACCATAACCCTAACCCTAACCCCAACCCTAACCCTAACCCTAACCCTAACCCTAACCCTAACCCTAACCCTAACCCTAACCCTAACCCTAACCCTAACCCTAACCCTAACCCTAACCCTAACCCTACCCTAACCCTAACCCTAACCCTAACCCTAACCCTAACCCTAACCCTAACCCTAACCCTAACCCTAACCCTAACCCTAACCCTAACCCTAATCCTAACCCTAACCCTAACCCTAACCCTAACCCTAACCCTAACCCTAACCCTAACCCTAACCCTAACCCTAACCCTAACCCTAACCCTAACCCTAACCCTAACCCTAACCCTAAACCTAAACCCTAACCCTAACCCTAACACCTAACCCTAACCCTAACACCTAACCCTAACCCTAACCCTAACCCTAACCCTAACCCTAACCCTAACCCTAACCCTAACCCTAACCCTAACCCTAACCCTAACCCTAACCCTAACCCTAACCCTAACCCTAACCCTAACCTAACCCTAACCCTAACCCTAACCCTAACCCTAACCCTAACCCTAACCCTAACCCTAACCCTAACCCTAACCCTAACCCTAACCCTAACCCAACCCCTAACCCTAACCCTAACCCTAACCCTAACCCTAACCCTAACCCTAACCCTAACCCTAACCCTAACCCTAACCCTAACCCTAACCCTAACCCTAACCCTAACCCTAACCCCAACCCTAAACTTTACCCTAACTCTAACCCTAACCCTATCCCTAACCATAACCCTAACCCTAACCCTAACCCTAACCCTAACCCTAACCCTAATTCTAACACTAACCCTAACCCTAACCCTAACCCTAACACTAACACTAACCCTAACCCTAACCCTAAACTTTACCTTAACCCTAACCCTAACCATAACCCTAGGGTTACTGTTATGGTTAGGGTTAGGGTTAAGTTAGGGTTAGGTATAGGGTTAGCGTTAGGGTTAGGGTAAAGTTTAGGGTTATGGTTAGGGTTAGGGTTAGTGTTAGAGTAAGGGTTAGAGTTAGGTTTAGGGTTAGGGTTAGGGTTACGGTTCGGGTTAGGGTTAGGGTAAAGTTTAGGGTTAGGGTTAGGGTTAGGGTTAGTGTTAGAGTAGGGGTTGGGGTTAGGGTTAGGGTTAGGGTTACGGTTATGGTTAGGGTTAGGATTAGTGTTAGGGTTAGAGTTAGGGTTAGGGTTAGGATTAGGGTTAGGGTTAGAGTTAGGGTTAGGGTTAGGGTTAGGGTTACGGTTAGGGTTACGATTATGGTTAGGGTTAGGGTTAGGGTAAGGGTTAGGGTTAGGGTTAGGGTTAGGGTTTAGGGTAGGTTAGGGTGGTAGGGGTTAGGGTTAGGTTTTAGGGTTAGGTTTAGGGTTAGGTTAGGGTTAGGGTTAGGTTAGGGTTGGGTTAGGGGTTAGGGTTAGGGTTAGGGTTAGGGTAGGGTTAGGGTTTAGGGTTAGGGTTAGGGTATAGAGTAGGGTTAGGGTTAGGTTTAGGGTTAGGGTTAGGGTTAGGGTTAGGTAGGGTTGGGTTTAGGGTTAGGGTTAGGGTTAGGTTAGGGTTAGGGTTAGCGGTTAGGGTTAGGGTTAGGGTTAGGTTAGGGTTAGGGGTTAGGTTGGGTTAGGGTTAGGTTAGGTTAGGGGTTAGGTTGGGTTAGGTTAGGGTTAGGGTTAGGGTTAGGGTTAGGCGTTAGGGTTAGGAGTTAGGGTTAGCTTCCTGTTAGGCGGTTAGTGGTTAGGGTTAGGTTAGGGTTAGGGTTAGGGTTAGGTTTGAGGGTTTAGGTTAGGGTAGGGTTAGGTTTAGGTTAGGGTTAGGGTTAGGTTTAGGTTAGGGTTAGGGTTAGGGTTAGGGTTTAAGGGTATAGGGTTATTAGGTTAGCGGTTAGGTTAAGGTTAGGGTTAGGGTTAGGGTTAAGGGATTATAAGGGTATAGAGGGTGAATAGGATTAGTTTGTTATGGAGATCTAAGGTTTCAGAGGGTTAAGAGGTTAGGGTTAGTTCGCTTAGCGGTTATGAGTTCAGTGGGTTACTCGAAGCCGCGTCTCAGGAGTTAGGTTAGTGGGGTCATAGGGATAAGGGGTATAGTTTAGGCTTCTTAGCTAGTTAGTAGGAGTTAGGGTTCACGTGGTTTGCGTACCCGGGGTTCAGGGGGGTTAGGGTTAGGTAGGGGTTAGTTAGGGTGACCTCGTAGGTTAGGTAGTTCGTCTAGGGAGTCTTTAGGGTTGGCAGAGGAGTTATTACGTGCTAAGGTTATAACGAGATTGTTGCGAAGCGTTAAGCGTTAGGGGTTACTGTAAAGTCAGTGCGGTTTAAAGGGTTGATGGTTTAGGGTTAGGTTAGGGTATAAGAGGTACCTCAAGAGGAAGGAGTATAGGCTGGGATGCAGTGTGTAGGGTTAGGGTTTTGATGGGTTAGGGTATAGGGTTAGGGTTAGGGTTAGTTCATGAGCTCATAGGGTTGGAGAGGGTTAGAGATTTAAAGCGTGTAAGAGGTAGGCTAGTGGTATTTAGGTATAGAGATCCGTATAAGGGTATACAGGTTCGTGGTTAGCATTATGTGTTTGTGGTTAGAAGTGTTTAGGCGTTAAGGTCTCTCAAGGATCGTGTAGTGTTTACGATTTTTAGAGTTTAGGCCAACAGTTTACGGTGTTTTAACAAGATATAGATAATATGGAATATAAGCGTTAATAGAGAGTAATAGAGAGTATAGTGATGAAATTTAGTGGTTAATGGAAATTAGTGATGAATAGAGGTAGTATAGGTATAGGAGCTTGTAGAGGATTTTAAGGAGTTTAGGAGTTAGTCGGAGATCATAGGTTAAGGGGGTTTAGGGGTTAAGTGGTGTAAGGGTATAAGGGGCTTAGGGGTATTGGAAGAAGTTTAGGTGCTGTAAGGGTTAGGTATACGGGATAGTTAAAGTGGTTAGCGTTTACGTGAGTTATGAAGTTAAAGAGTGTTTGCACCGGTTCATTGCGTGTGAAAGTGTTAGTGGTATAGGGTTGATAATGGGTTCTAGGTATACGACTAGGTTTTAGGTAGATATAAGTCAGATAATTGGCAATCAACGCTAAAAGTTTAGATCGATAAGTTAAGGGTCTAGGTATAGGATTAGACTGTGTTACGCGGATGTAGAGTTAATAGGGTAAGTGAGTCTCAAGGGTAAGTGGTATATAGGAGTATATGAGGTTAAGGGTATCAGGGTCGTCTACCGCGTACTACGAGTTAGGAGATTAGGTATTAGTCGCGATACTTACAAAGGGTTAGGTGACTAGTGTGCGTTGAAGTGCAGCCTTAGGGTTAGAGGTCAAATAGGTTCTAGTGTTGAGTAGGCTATTAGGGTTAGGAATAATGAGAGGCACGTTTAGTGCAGTAATGGCTCGTTAGGGATGTATAGCTCCTAGATGACGTATAAGGGACTCGCGTTGAGTGTGGTGACGGAATTATAGGACACCCCGGATTCATAGGGATGTTAGGGATTCTAAGAGGTCCAATAAGGAGTTAGGAGAGTGTTAATTATGTTAAGAAGGATTTCGAAGTAGTAAGGAGTTAGGTGTTAAGGTGTTAGGGTCTAGGAGTTGCTAGGGTTAGGGTTGAGGTTAGTTTAGGTATGTCTCTAGGGAAATGTGTAGGGTTCAAGGGATTTAAGGGGTTTCAGGAAGTAGCTAAAAGTGAGTATAAGTTGGAGCATGTGTCTACACGACAGCAGTTAGACAGTTGTGCTGTAGGGTTCGAGTATAAGGAGTTCGGGATATAAGAGCGCTGTAGTCGCATGTTAAAAGAGATGGATGGTCAGCGTGTAGAGTAGGTTTAGCTGGTGAGTCAGGATAGTTTCAGGCGTTAGTTGTAACTAGAGCATACTTAGGTAGTAGGCGTTTTAGGTTTATTAGGCGTTCGTTGCAAGTGTCTTAGACGTGATTTTCGTGTAGAGGAAGTTTCATTGCGCATAAGCGGTTTAGGTCAGCCAGAATCTGTGAATGTAGTGTGGTTAGAGGTTAGGAGTTAGGGGTTAGAAGGTGTAGGGTTAGGTGGAATCGTAGAGGGTATAGAGTAGGGTAGTACGTGGGTTTAATTGCGTCGTGTATAGTGAGTTATGAT